ATACCAAACACTGCAAATAGAACAATTTAAATTTACATATTCGAGTTTTGATCTCGTAAATTTTTAATATCTAATGTTTTTTTTCTTAATTTCTATCGATATACGTATATATCGATATTTGCTTGATTTTTATGGAAATGATGTTACACAAATTTTGATCGTGTTTTTGATCAATTGGCCAGTTTAATTGATTTAATGCAATTAATTTGAAGCTGGTTGTAAAACGAAGATGAACCAATACGTACGGCCTTAGCATCGATCGATGTCTCCGTTTTTCTATTAATAAATCTAGTTTATATCAATTCATGTGATACGCTGGTATGGTTATTTTAGTAGCTCGCGTACTAGCTTATCAAATCTTTCGATATTTCGATCGTTGCTTGCCGTTTGATTTTTTTTTTTTTTTTTTTTTTTTTTTTTTTCTTTTTTTATTCCCCTTTGAGACCATTTCTCACAGGGATATTAAAAAAAATATCGCGAAGATAAAGTCTGGAAATACGAATAAAAATTTCGAAATATCGGAAATTATCCATTATTATTATTGACGAAGATAAATATCGCTTTTTTTTTTATTTGCTCATTTTAAAATATTGATTCCCATAAGAGCATTGAATAATATTGGAAGAAATGGAATTTGGAAGATAAAAATTGTAAGATCAATTTTATTAAAAATAATAAAAAAAAAAATATTGTACGAGTGAATATAAATAAAATTCAAATTTTAATGAAATCGAATCTTACTTTTCTTTCTTTAACAGTGACATAAAAAAAAAAATACGTCTTGCTCTTCTATCCACTTTTTGCTCACTTGATTACCTCATTTAGAACGTTTAACGCGTTTCTTTGTCATTCATCGATTCTTTTTTAAACAATTGTCAGATTATTAAAAACTGTTTATAATATTCTTAAAGTTGCATTACTTAAAAAGGAAGATATGATGCATGAAACTGCATTTAAGCCCACTTGCTTACTCGAGATGCATGCAACAAGCGGTTGATCAAGTTTACCGCGTTATTGACGAATATTTGCGGTGCACTTTCCGAAAGTGGGAGTGGGACGATAGAGTTAAGCAGTTAAGTGAGTAAACGAGCCGATGGAGAAATCATTTTCGATCAAAATCGATATTTTTTTGAATAATTAAAGTCGACAAAATTATAATTGTAATCTGATTCACTGTAACTTTTTTATTTCAAGTAAATTGCAATAGTCAGAGGGTAGTTCTTTATCATAATATTATTAAGATTATTTAAATCTTGATATAAAATAAAAATTTTTTTTCGAAATGTTTTATCGTGGATTCGTCAAAATTCAATGAATTTACAAAATTTAAAAATGATATATGTTCGTATGATTAAAAAAGATTGATAAATTAAAACAATGATTAGAGATGACTGTAAATCGAAGGTGACAACAATTTTAACTTTTCAACAGTTAAATAGCTACCTCCTGGAAGCGTTCCAAAATTCCTCCACCACGGAATTCATGCCGCAGAACGGAAGGGTGGCGTGCAGAGTGCCACTCTCTTGAACATCTCCAATTGTTTACAATATCACGAATGCAACAAGCGGCGTCTCGAATTCAATGCGTTGTCCAAACGGACCACTATCACTTTAATATCCACGAAACACGAAGGTAAACAATTTAGTTTACGAATTTCATTCAAATATCCATCATTGGAATAATACAGAATTATTACTTTTCAAAAAAGAAAACAAATCGAATTGACTTTCTTCTATAAAAAAAAAAAAATACGGTCATACAGGGTGTTACAATTCCTATCCTATTATTTTAAAATCGATGAATCGAGTGATAAAATAAAATTTCCGTTTGGACGAACGTAGGAGGAAAAAAAAAAAAAAAAAATTCCAAG